AAATAATCCATATCTCCTGTCAACGCATTTTATAAATATTTTGCCCCATAGGACATACTTTAATGGGTAACTAATCATCTTGCTTATTCTGCATGACCAGCAGCGGTGGTCTTGGGTTCAGCTGGACATTCCCACTCACAAGATCCAGTAGACCATACCTGGCACCAGTCTCTCCCTGCTTTGTTGAAAGAAACGAGAGAGAAAACCCAAGAAATCAGCATCAGGCATATTGTTCCCAAGTGATAGTTCAGACTAGTGAAAAGGTGACACATGGATAGGCGCCTCCTGACTTAACTGTTTTGTGCTCCACAAGAAACAATATCTTTTGTAACAGTGCATGGGCATAGTTATGTCCAGGATTCAGCAGCGGAACAGGTCAATTGCAGATTATGTACCACTCAGAAAAGCTACTCTTGATACTTCTCACTTGGCATGTGGAGCCCTGCTCACTGTCTGCTCAATCCAGATTTAGCTCACCAATAGGGGTCATGTTTACCACATAAAATGTTGCTTAGAAACCTATCTGATATCCCACCTTTATGAGGTTTCCAGGGAAACCATGCTAGAAGTTAGCCAGAGGTAATTTTTTTTCATGGAGAGAAAGGTTTTTGTTAACCCTTTACTCAATTTATTGACCAAATAAATGGAAAGCTTGCATACTGCTCGCTGCAGTGGACTGTATCAGAGACACTATTCATTTACATTGACTATCTGGGTATATGTGAAATTGTTTATAAATCTCAGCAGATGGCTCTTGTACTTTGCTGATTATTTCAGCAAATTTAGTAAATAAAAAAATTCTTCCCAAGTTAAGTTTGCTTGTTCTAGTTCCCTGATGATAAAGACTAGGGAGCAGAAATTATTTGCAGAGTGGGTTATGTGAAAATAAGGCAGTCCATAAGTAGAGGTCTCTTTCTAGACCACCGATGTGCCATGAATGTATTAAAGAGAAGACATAGACACTACAGAGCAGTTTTTACTAACCTTTCCTTAAAATTTACTTCCATTTAATATTCTTCAAAATAAATTGGCTTTTATTCTGACTTTCACAGTTTAACAATCCATTGTAAGATGATGTTTATTTATCACAAAATCATTTAGTTAAGGTGATTTTCAAGAATGATTTGTGGAAAACTGCAAGTTGAATAACGATTTTTAAAACCAATAATGGACTGAAATATGCAACTTTTCTTATGTCCACTCTTAAAAATATGTGCCTAGTGCTCAGAATACAGTTATATTTTCTTAGAAGTCTAATAATTCAGATATATTACTGGGTTGTTTATTTAAAAATCATTTTAGTCTTGAGTATCTGTAAAGTGTTATACTACCCAGTAGGTAATACAGTAGTGAAAAAGAGAAACATATAGTTCCTGGTCTAATAGATTTAAATTCAATATTGTACGTAGAAATTAGAAATTAAAGAGGCTACTTAAAAATTTATTTTTCAGTTTGAATAATTAAAATTTTTAACTATGTAGATTTTATCTGTGTGTGTGCATGTGTGGTTTGAATTTCAAAATATGCCTTGACTAGCTGTTAGGAGCTTTATATTTTATCTAGTGTTTGGTTTTTTGTTTGTTTGTTTTTTAATATAAAAACTTAGATTTGAAAACTGAGTCAAACTCCTAATTATCTGGGTTATTGAAGTGCGTTAGCATGCTCTTATGAAATTTCAGGATTTTTTTTCTTATAGTTGTGTGTCTGATTTGATGTTAATTTGACCAGAACAAGGTTAAGAATCTAGTAGTAAAACCAGAAATACTTAGTCACAAAGCAAATAAAGTTAATATATCCATAGCTTTTTAAAATTTTATTTGATAATGCTGACCAGTCTTATATGTAGGCATTTTTAAATTCTCATTCTACTGAAAAAAAAAAAAAAAAAAATTCAGACTGGAAATAAGTGATAAACCCAAGATTATTCTGAAAACATATAATAGCACAGACTTTAAGACTGATGGAATTTTAGTGGCTTGTTTTCCTATTATGTTGCCATATAAATGATATTCTATCACCTTTCACAAATGATTGGCCTGACTATAGAAAAAAGAAAAGGAAACAGTAAAAATTTTTATTAAAGAAATATCCTAAATGACTTATTTTTGAAATAGTATTGTGTTCTAGTATACTTGTGTTTTATATCCTAAACTTTGTTAATCCTAATCATTATACAAAAATTTTTAATATGATATATAAAGTTAATGCCAGTGTGTGTTCATAGTTCCCCAATGTACCTTCGGTGTATTACATACAAAAATCACTCAAGATATTGCTTATATTTAAGAAAATAAAATAAAATTAGTTAAATATTAGATGAAAAGTTTAAGTGACCAGATGTGTTGTTGAGAATTATCCACAACAACAAAGGAATGTAGAGTAGCCCTGTCTATTTTAAGCTATTGATAAATAGCAGTCATAGATTGTGAAAGGGCCTTTATTATTGACCTCGAACAATTATTTCGTATTTATTGTAATTGGCTTCGTTGGCTGCTATAGTGCAGCCTCTTTCAATCTGATTTTTAACCAGTTCTGACACCTAGTGCTTAGGTATTGCTTCTGTAGTTTTGAAGCTTAGGTTTTTGTTTACCTGACACACCTGCTTTTCTCTAGCTTAATATAGTACTCATTGTAATAAAACTTGCTACAACTGGGTGGCACTGTTGATTTCAGAGAAAGTTCAGAAAAATGCTATGCTGTTAGTTTATGTTCAGAGTAATTTGAGCAAGAGTTCAAATTTGAAAATCTGTGTTTAACGAAGTAGTAAATATGTTTGGTGAAATCATAGTGAAAAATTGAATCTGTTAAATCATCTAACTCGTCTTTATAGCCAATCTAATTTAACTTGATGTTGTTTTTTCAACATTTAAACCTAATATGATGTACCAAAATGTCACATTTATTAGTTTATGGCATACAGTACATTTAAAAAAATCAGTCATTAACAATTATTTATCAAATGTAAGAGTAAGTTCTTTATGATAGTTTTGTTAGTAAAAGAGAATATAATGTCTTTTAAAACTTAGTAAATATATAAGTAGACGACTACTGTATAAAAAAAATTGTATAACATATCTTACCTCTTGCCATTTTAAGACAACATCCATACATTTTTTATTTGATTAAAAATTTTACTTTTGATGGTTTTTTTCTGTATTTTATTTTTATCATTTTTATTTTTCAGCAGTATTTTAAGTTCCTTTCTTCATTTTTTTCTGGTTCTCAAACAGAATTTCTGCTTCTTTTACATCCTTCAGTTGTTTTTGGCCTTATCAATATGTCATAGCAATTAATCTTGACTCACTAGTATGAAATTGCATTAAGGACTGTATAAAAGATTTTACATATTTTGTTATGTTAGCAATCTGAATTTTTTTTTAATCATGTGAAAGACAGAATATTAAACTTTTCTTGAAAATAATACAATATTAGAAACTAGTGGTTAATTTAAATACTTTTTTTATGTTTAGCTGTGAAAACCTCCAGGTAGAGAGGAATATATTTTTTTCTTTCTTGTCCTGGTTTGTTTAATTATAATTTTTTATATAATGTGAAAAAGAAAATTGACAATTTTTTGGCAGAAAGAAATTGAAGACACAAATAAATGAAAAGCTATTCCATGCTCATGGATGGGAAGAATTAATATTCTTAAAATGTTCATACTACAAAGTAATCTACAGATTTAATGCATTCATATCAAAATTCCAATGCATTTTTCACAGAAATAGAACAAATAATCCTAAAATTTCTATGGAACCACAAAAGACCCAAAATAGCTAAAGCAGTCTTGAGAGGAAAACAGTGGGAGGCATCAGTCATGCTCGCTGACTTCATACTATATTACAAAACTGTAGTAACCAAAACAGTATCGCATTGGCACATAAATCAGATGTGCAGAATAGGAGCCCAGAAATAAACTCACACATATATAATCAATTAATTTATAACCACCAAGCCAAGAATATAATGGGAAAGGACAATCTCCTCAATAAATAGTGTTGGGAAAACTGGATCACTAACTTACCATGCACAAAAATTAACTCAAAAGGGCTTAAAGACTTTAATGTAAGATTTGAACCCACCAAACTCTTAGAAAGAAAACAGCGAAACAGCAGTAAGCTCCTTAATACAAGACTTGGCAATGATTTTTTGCCTCTGACACTAAAAGCAAAAATAAACAAGAGGGACTACATCAAATTATAATGCTTCTGAACATCAAAGGAAGCCATCAACAAAATGAAAAGGTAACCTTTGGGAGAAATATTTGCAAGTCATATATCTGATAAGGGTTTATTATTCAAAAATATATAAAGAACTCACAACTCAATAGCTTAAAATCCAATTAAAAAAGGGGAGTAGGACTGAACAGACATTTTTCCAAAGAAGACCTATGGATGGCCAATAAGTACATGAAAACACTAATCATCAGGAAAATGCAAATCAAAACAGATATCACCTCACACCTGTTAAAAAGGCTAGTATCAAAAAGACAAGAAATAATAAATGTTGGCAAGGATGTAGAGAAAGGGAACCATTGGGAACGTAAATTGGTAACAGCCATCATGAGGAACAGTGTGGAGGTTCTTCAAAAAATTAAAAATAGAACTACAATATAATCCAGGAATTCCACTGCTGGGTATTTATCTGAAGAAAATGAAAACAGCTGATCTACTTACATGTATATAAAAATGTTGGGAACATAGCATCAACTTATTTTTCTCTCAGATCAAGGAAAATATGTGAATGAAAGTACGTGGCTGTAAATAAGCACACATTTTAAAAAAGTGAATATAATTTAATGACTACTATAGCACTGGAGGGAGAAAGGAGACTGTTGACAACAAGGTAGAAGGGAAATTAGAGCAACCACTTTTGTGGATGGATTGATGTAGGGTTCCAAGGATTCATCTAGTCCCATGATTTTATATATCATGGACCTAACTTTAGAATAAGAGATATATGTTGAATTACTGATAATGTGTCTCTCTTTTTTTCTTTAGGACACTTACAGAGAGCTACAATGGAAAAGTCCTGGATGCTGTGGAACTTTGTTGAAAGATGGCTAATAGCCTTGGCCTCGTGGTCTTGGGCTCTCTGCCGTATTTCTCTTTTACCTTTAATAGTGACTTTTCATCTGTATGGAGGCATTATCTTACTTTTGTTAATATTCATATCAATAGCAGGTATTCTGTATAAATTCCAGGATGTATTGCTTTATTTTCCAGAACAGCCATCTTCCTCACGACTTTATGTTCCCATGCCCACTGGTATTCCACATGAAAACATTTTTATCAGAACCAAAGATGGAGTGCGTCTGAATCTTATTTTGATAAGATATACTGGAGACAATTCACCCTATTCTCCAACCATAATTTATTTTCATGGGAATGCAGGCAACATAGGTCACAGGTTACCAAATGCGTTGCTTATGTTGGTTAACCTCAAAGTTAATCTTTTGCTTGTTGATTATCGAGGATATGGAAAAAGTGAAGGAGAAGCAAGTGAAGAAGGACTCTACTTAGATTCTGAAGCTGTGCTAGACTATGTGATGACTAGACCTGACCTTGACAAAACAAAAATTTTTCTTTTTGGTCGTTCCTTGGGAGGAGCAGTGGCTATACATTTGGCTTCTGAAAATTCACATAGGATTTCAGCCATTATGGTGGAGAACACGTTTTTAAGCATACCACATATGGCCAGCACTTTATTTTCATTCTTTCCAATGCGGTACCTTCCTTTATGGTGCTACAAAAACAAATTTTTGTCCTACAGAAAAATTTCTCAATGCAGAATGCCTTCTCTTTTCATCTCTGGACTGTCTGACCAATTAATTCCACCAGTAATGATGAAGCAACTTTATGAACTCTCCCCATCTCGGACTAAGAGATTAGCCATTTTTCCTGATGGAACTCATAATGATACATGGCAATGCCAAGGTTACTTCACTGGCCTTGAACAGTTCATCAAAGAAGTAATAAAGAGTCATTCTCCTGAGGAAATGGCAAAAACTTCATCTAATGTGACAATTATATAATTTTTTTTTGATTAATGCACTACATTTTAATTCGTTCAGAATGATAAAGAATGTTCCTTTCTAGAAGTGTGTTATATATGTACTTGTCTGAAGAGTGACATTAAACTTTGAAAGGACTTCAGTGCTCCTTTAAGATGATCCAAATAGTTTTTTACATTTGAAAAACTGTAAATGTTGGGATTGTTTCATACATTTTCATCAAACCTTTCAGTGTGGTTATGTGTCCATATCTTTAGTTTAATATGCCAGTAGAATATATTCAGAAGTTTCTTGTTGCTAAAATGGTATATTCTATGTGATACTTAAGATTAATGGCTGGGTGTGGAAGACGAGATGTAAACGAGAAACCTTTGGATATTATTCCTTTAGTAAATATTGGGACAATCATGGTATACAAACTTAGTTCTATAACTGCATTTTTCACCTTAAAATAATATGCATGCTATTTCTTGAATTATGCAATGCAATGTTTTTAATGTAAATAGCACTGGTCATATACCAATGTATATGGTAACCTGGGTATATCTATTTTTATGTAAACTATTTGGGTTTTGGCAAGAAGTGAAATTGAGGCCTGTGTGCAGGTTGCTATTGAATTTTGCTCTGGTGAATGCTGTGATTCAGCTTTTTATTACAAATAAATGGGACCCCACTTTCCAATATAAATGTACTGTGTTTTGTTAGGTACAGTCTGGATCATGGCATGTAAAAATAGAAATTTAGAGTTTTATTGCAGCTTTCATGTGCATATTTGAACTTTTTAATGTTTGTAATTTTGGTGGCAAAGAGGATTTTAGCTTTGTCAGTTTCATAAGTCTTCAGGTAAACCACTAATGGCAGTCATAATGAAGATTATAACTTGTTTGAGAATTAAATTAGGAAGCCTTATTACATAATTGTACATACTGTTTTACAGAAATCCCCACAATTCATTTTTAAGTTCCAGTATCTAGGTATATCTAACCCACTAAAGCCAAGATATCATTTATTTGACTTTCTGAAAATAAAAGTTACAGAAACAAAAGCAAAAAAAACCCCAAAGAAACCCCCCCAAAAGAACTACATTCTTTGGTTTAATGTTTTATTATAAAATAGAACTGCAACAATAGACAATTTTAGGAAGTCTTAATTTATTTTCTACATTTAGGAATGTAGGGATGAAGGAACTTTAGAGCTTTTAACTATGGAACCTAGTACACATTTAACTATTAAATGGCTATCAGTGGGAAGTAGTATTTAGACATATAGAAAAGTAAGAAAAATCGTACTTTAAAAAAAGCTTAAATTTACAGGATTTACATATATATGTGTGTATATATATACATATATACACACATATATATATACATGTGCTATGAGGCTTAATTGTGCTAAGTTATTTCAAGCAGTCCTCAAAAATTAGATGTAATTGAGCTCTGTACATTGTTATGTCAGCTTTGAGATATAATAATTTGAATATTTTGGCTATATTTATTGGCTTTGTGCCAGCAGCTAGAACAGAGAAATAGTGGGTCAATAATTTTGACTCTTAATTTAAAACTCTTTCCATGGAGATAGGGCTAGAAATACTTTTGCCAAATAACATTCTTCTCATTCATTTTATGTCAGTATTTAGAAAACAGTAAATTATAGCAAATATGATTAATGTTTTTCTATAAATTATTGTAAAAAAAAGATCATGCTTTAAAAAACAAATTTGGTAATGCCTATCATGGAAGGTGTGTATTTTGTATGTATAATTTCACTACAATTAAAGGCTACTTTTCATCTTGTCAATCATTGCTATGTAGAATGACTGTCCTAAATAGTAATGTATTAAAAGGAAAAAAAGTTAATACGTCAAAATATAGTGTATTTAGACGTGAGCTTACATGGCATACCTTAGATTTGTATCATTCTTTAAAGTTTAACAAGTTCCTTTTTATGTCTTCATGTGATCATTTAGTCTACTATACTATAGAGGAATTTATCAGATTATAAGTATTATGCTGATGAAGTATAAAAGTTTTTTCTTCATCAGTGTTTTGTTTTATGCTGCTTTAAAAAAATATATACTCCAAGTTTATAAACAATCATTTTTCTTTTTTCTCTTTAAGCCAGGACTTCAAAAGTTGTAAAGCACTTGTGTTCCATCCCTACCTTCATTCTCTTTGGGTTAAGAAGCTTTTCTTCCTGCAGCAAAGGGAATAGGCTGTTTCTAGGGTTGTAGTATATACTTTCTGTACTTGAGAATATTTCCTTAGATAGGATGAAACAGAGAAGAAATTCTTATTACCAGGGGTCTCTGAAGTCCATGCCATAAGTTTTTCAAAATGTGTCTAATTTTGGCCAAAATCTTTGGTGTTAATAAAATGTGAATTCTGAATGAGTCACTTCATTTTGGACTCATAGTTTAGTGGCAATAAAAGTGTGTTCGTCTTTGTGTATTAATTTCTGGGTCATGCAAAAGCAGCTATAGGAGTTTCAGAATGAATTTTAAGTTATTAAGCTGCTGTAAATTTGCAAATACTAGAATGATTTTAAATATGGCAAGATACAACATATTTAGATCAGAATCTATTTTAAGGAGGATTATTGGGGGGAAATGGCAAAGAAGATCCTAAAAAGGATTTTGCAAAATGTGGGGAGAATAACTTCTAACAGATAAAAAAAATACTAATGAAATAGAAAGCGAAAGGTGGGTGATGTATAGATCTAGTAAATAATTGATGAGATTGGTGAAAAGGAAACAACAGTGCAAAAATATTTTAAAATGAGGCATTTCTAACAAACTGACTAGTGCACCGGACACTGCAACTACCCTGTATTTTTGCAAGTACTTTGTAACATAGATATTTTCATTAAAATTCTTAATTCTGTTACAGGTCAGCTTAAATTTATTTTTTTTTATGATGAGCTGTAGACACATGATAATTAACAAATTTCCAGCTTTGGTAATGTGTCACTGTATCAATTATGTTGTAATATTTATTACTGAGAATTCATACCACCTGATGCTTTCATATTCATTTCTTAAGTTTGAAAGATTTGGTTCGAGGTAGGAATAGATTTATTTGGTGGAATTAGAGAGTGAAGGCCATATTTGATTTTATATGTTATTTTGAAAGCTCAGTTTAAGTGTAGAAGTGTAGTTTTTTGAGCCCTTTATTTTCTTGAGGTGAGGAGTGAATAAACTTTTTAAGGATGTCACAGAAGTCACTTTTTAAATTAGGTCATGATTGAGATATACTGAAATCCTTCACTGACCTCTCCCCTCTCTGCTTGTCTTATTATTTTTGACAATTAAGGAGAAAAAAAAAAAAACTGTGAAAAAAATTAGTTATATGCTTTTGGATTATCCACTTAAATTTATATATTTTCATATCACTCAGGTAAAGTTGGAAATGACAGAGCACAGGCATCTATTTTTTAAATAATAGGATAGAAAAAGCGCTTCTGTTTATTTATATTACCATATATATACATCATCTTAACTAATTAGAAATATATTCACTTGTGTGGCAAAATAAATGCATTCATCCTAATAGTAGTCAAGTTTTTGCCAAATGGCACAAATATACCTCCATTTATATTTTGTATCTTAAAAATGTAGTTTAAAGGTAAGACAATAAGACACTTTTTTACAAAAAGTGCCATATATACATGTGAAACAGGGATGCGTGTGTGTTGTTTAACTTAATTTATAACAGTTTCTGTCAGTACAGCATATACTTCAAATTCAAGTTGTTTTGAACCTGTTCATATACATTCAGCATACAGTAAGTTAATCCAGTTTCATAATGTAAATCATATTTTTGTTGCCATGTTTTATTTGAAGCAGTAATAAAATTTTGTAGCTCAAATTTGAATGTTATGGTACATTATTTCCTAACCATGGCAAGCACACATTTACATTTGTTTTTTTATAGTAAGTTTCTCTTAAAATATACTTTTTATTTTTCTGTACTGGCATGCAATAAATTGATACATGACAAGTTTGATTAATGTCTTAAGATAGTTTGTACTCAGTTTTTAAAATAATATTTTCTATTAACCTAAATTATATGGTAGGGCATTAAAGTTTCCTTATGGTCAAATAAAATTCCTGAATTGTATTGAAATTAATGAATTTTTATTGTAGTGATGTAGTTTATGTTCCCTTTTCTCTCTTCTCTCACATACATTTAATTTAGGCTTATACTGAGTATTTTCTCTGTATGAATCACTGATGAATGAATAGGCCCCAGAGCATTTGCTTAATTAAATTAATCTAGGAATTAAATTAACCATAGTTATGCTGCCTTCAGATTTTATAAAGTGCCTTTTCATGAAATCCTTAGGTGTTTTTGCCCTGCATTAGTATTGAGTTAAAGGCTTGGGAAGGTTTTCAGAAGGCCTGATGTACATTCAACCTTTCAGGCTCTGTACCTTGCTTTCTGTGTGTGTGTGTGTGTTTCTTTTGCATAATCTCTTCATTGTGTTCACCCAGCCCCACAACCACCCTCCCTCCTGACAGCTTTCAGTCTGTTCTCTATAGAGTCTGTACCTTGCTTTCTTCACAAGAAACATATCTGAATAGTGTCAGAACCAGTGGGATAATAGGAAGTGTATGACAAACTTTACCCCCCTACAAGTTGAGATGAAGAATTCACTTACTGGAGACCATCTTTCCATGGGTAGATCTACTGGGAAGTAGGATTTCATATACTTCTTGAAAGATCACTAAACTAAATCCCAAGATGAAGCAGTTTTTAGAACTATTTCTTATTTTCAAAAGATAATTTTACATTCCGATTTTACTCTCCAACTGCTGCTTTACAATCCATTACATCCTGAAGTTCACAAACAGTTGGATCTGGTGAGAGAATATAACTCCTATCTTATGAAGGGGAAGGCAGGAGAAAGACTTTTTTTTTTAGTACCTACAGGTGTAAGGGCAAAGTGTAGAATATGTTAATGTTATTGAATCCACACAACAAACCTTTGAGAAATTTGCATTCCCATATTATAATGAACAGGCTCAGAATGGTTCAGTAACATGCTCAAGATACCCAGAATGGAGCCATGATTTGAATCTGTCTCCAGTTCTAAATGTAGGACTATACATTGCCTCATTTTCTCAAACAATTTGACAACTTTTATTTATATCAAAACAGACTTAAGATATTGAAATGGAATTAAAGTAGACCAGTTCTTTGGGAATATTCCCACAGAATTGGTCATGAATAAAAAAATTTGGAATGTTATACAATCAACTACTTCTTTTCAGAACAGTTAAGTATGTGTTCCTGTAGGAAAATCTGTCAGTTAATAGCACTTCTCATCCTCTTTCCTTAGCCTTTTATAGACAATCAAGGCTCAAAATATCTAGGAGTTATCTTCCTCCTAAAATGAAACTCAGACTTTTGAAACTGGACTTGCTATTATTTTTCCAGTAAGATTTATTTTCCCAACCTTTCTAGTACTACCATGCCAGTCCCTGAAATTATTTTATAATAGCTAACATTTTTATTGAATGCTTGTAATGTGCCAAGTATTGTTCTGACTTCTTTTATTCTTGATAAACTGAATAGTCTGAACTGGCTTCTAACTTCACTGATCCCACTCCTTGATCTTTGTCCTGTTCTAACTTGCCAGAGAAACTTCATGACTTTTCCTACTGAAAGGCATTTAGTAACTGCAT